ACACAGCCTGATTACAGCGTCTGGGCACCGAACAGCCTCAATAACCTGGAAAGATGCTAACCGCTAGGCTAACTAGCAACAAGATGCCTTCCCTCTCCACAGATGACTACCACAGCCTCCTGCAGAAGATTGCAGTACTGGAGACAAAAATTCATCACTTAGAAGTAAACGTGGAGATAAATGTACTGTGTTGAAATGAAACAACCTTGCCTTTGATTCAAAACAATAGCGATGAGCAAGCTAGTACACAGCCAAGGAGCACAGATAACATGACCAAGAAAGTAGACTCTGTGCATTATAATAAATCCTCAAGCGATAATCCCCCCTTGGACTGTCTTGGTGCAAAAGGCTACAACCACAAAAGGCTACAAGCAGTAACAACACTGTGGTTCACAGTGTTGTTACTGCTTGTAGCATCCCCCCTTTGGACACATGGTAAAACCCGTGTGCCCACTTAAGGAACCAAGGGAAAAAATGCTTAGGCAGGCATGGGCGGCCGTCAGAAAAACACCAGACAGATTGCATCAGTGTGCAGCCAGATTTATGCCAAAGATCTTTCTCTGCCCGAGAGACGAAAGACTGCACCACAGAAAGGTCAGTGAGGTCAGGTGTGGGCAATGTACCTAACACAAGTTGAAAAAACGGCCCCCCTGAGGCAGCTGCCTTAGCAGCTGCATCAGCAGCAGCGTTGCCTTAGGAGACAGAGTCAGTATTACCTGTGTGTGCAGCACACTTCACCACAGCAATGCGAGCAGGCAGGAGGATGGTGTCCAGCAGCGCTGCTACCTGGTCCGCATTGAGGATGGGCTTCCCGTCAGATTTCAGAAACTTCCTATGTCTCCACAGAGCACCAAAATCATGCTCTACACCAAACGCGTAGCGAGAGTCAGTGTAGATAGTGACAGAACGACCCTCAGCAACTTTACAGGCTTCTGTCAACGCCACAAGTTCCGCGGTCTGCGCTGAGAAATGCTTGGACAGCAAGCCTGAAACGAGAATGTCATGATCAGAACACACAGCAAAACCCACACGGTTAGTTCCTCCTGAATCATGTGAGGAGAAGCCATCCACATACAACACCAGAGTTCACAAGAGGAACATCTAGCAAATCAACACGAGGTGTACAGGTTTCAGTCAATACTGCAACACAACTGTGCGGCTCACCATCCTCCCATGTAGGAAGGAGAGTGGCTGGGTTCAGTGTTGTGCAACGCATCACTGTGATGTTGGGCACATCAAGTAACATAGAAGAATACCTGAGCCAGCGAGCTGCAGACAGATGTGAGGTTCTTTGCTCTAGCAAAATAACAGAAACTGCGTTGGGTACCTGCACCGTCAAAGGGGAATACCCAACAATGTCGCAGACAACCAGGAAGGCCTGCAGCCACTGGGTCAAGCTTAGAAGAATAGTAGGCAACAGGACGAAGCAAATCACCATGTTGCTGTAAAAGAACAGAAGACATGAAACCATTTTTCTCATCCACCATTTGAATGTATGGTTTGGACGCATTTGGAAGTGCTAAAACAGGTGCTGCCTCCGGTGTCCAAGAAATGTAGTTATGTGCAGACAGGTTCTTACCATGTATGAGCGCAGCCAGCGGAGCTTCCACGGAAATGTAGTGTGGAATGAAATTACAACAGTATGATGTGATTCCCAGGAACGACATCATCTATTTTTTGGTGCGAGGCTTTGGAATGTTTGTGACCGCCTCCACCCTTTTGGAAGAAATCTGACGTGAGTTGTGAGAAATCACATGTCCTAAAAATGTGACCTGCTCCTTACAGAGCTGTAACTTAGATTTGCTGGCTTTGTGACCCTTGTGATACAGATGTTTCAACAAGAAGAGAGAGTCTACTTTGCACTGTTCTTGTGTGGGCGCACACAAAAGCAAATCATACACGTACTGCAACAACACCGTGCCCTGGGAAAGAACCAAATCTGACAAAGAATCCCTAAACGCTGCATTATAAATTGTAGGGGACTCACAATAACCTTGACACAGATGGGTGAAAGTGTAAGGCTTTCCCCGGAACTCAAAAGCAAACCAGAATTGACTATCTGGATCAACTGGAACAGAAAAGAATGCATTAGACAAATCAACAACAGTGAAACACATAGCATCTGAAGGGATCTGAGAAACAATGGTGTGAGGATTTGGAACTACAGGGGCTCTGGGGACCACAGCTTTATTTACAGCCTGTAAATCTTGCACAAAACGCCACTCAACAGGTT